CAGTGACCTGCTTCTTGTTGGCCCCGTTCTCGAACCATGCGGACCTGTCGAGCGGCGGGGGCTATGGATTTTCTTCTGCGACCTTCGGTCCGTTATGCGCTGATTGGGCTGTCGATTTGTGTCGCGGCATCGCCCGGAAGCATCCCGGCACATATGCAGAGTTGGTATGACATTCTTTATGATGGCCTGAGGCAGATGAGAAGAATTTCTCAATCTTTAGCTAGATTTTGATATTTGGATCGTTCTTGGCTTCCCTCATTCATTTCATCTATTTCTATATTCCCTTCTATTCATCATCCTCCCCTATTCTGGAATCTATCTCCCTTTATTCTATTGACAATCTACGTTGATTGATGGTCGGCAGGAACTCCCTCTTAGCCCCATCGTATGCTCTGGAGGGATTTATATCCTTCGGATCGTGCTATCTGAGATATATATCATATTTGGCAACGTCTTCTGCTCACGCCTGGGATTTAGTAGATAATGATTCTCATTCCACCAATATCTATCAATCTATATTATTATTTCGCTAAATCTTTGGGGGGTCCTTGCATATATTGATAGATTTGAGTAAGTGAAGATACGCGGAGGAGGCGCCAGAATTTGCATTTTTGCCTGTTCTAGCAGATTCTGGCTACAGAAGATTGCGCTGCTCAATTATATTGCCTATTATCCAATAAATAATTCCCCGCCCTCGTAGTGGGGTTGTTAGATTTTAAAGTAGATGGCATCCTCGCCCGACTGGAAGCTGATTGTAGTGACCAACCACCAAATATCCCTGTTGTGCCCAACCACCAAAAATCCCTGCAGTGCCCAATCGCAGAATATCCCGGCGGTGTCCAACCGTCAAATAGCCCTGCTGTGCCCAACTACAAAAAATCCCTATAATGCCGAACCGCAGAATATCCCTGCAATTTCCAATCACCAAGTATCCCTGCAATGCCCAATCACCACGTACTCCTGTAATGCCCAACTCCAATATATCCCTGCGGTGTCCAACCACCAAATAGCCCTTATAGAGCCCAACCGAAAAATATCCCTGCAATATCCAAGCGCAGAATATCCCTGGAGTGCCCATCAATAAAATATCATTATTCTTATAGGGTATTTGTAGTACTATAAGAAAGATAATTGAGGGGAGATAGAGAAATGCTATACTTATTATGCATAACGTTTTTAGGATAGGGATGCTCGAAATATTACCTATTATCCAATTAATAAATTCATATTATTCTATATATTTGGCTACTATCTCAATGATAATATAGCTGAGAAACAAGAAAAATATTTCTTTCCAATGAATCTATGAGAATTATATTTGAGATCTTATATCTTCTGGATCCTATGCATAAATCCCTTTGATTCACTAGCTTCCTTTATTCACTTTCGTTGGTCAATTTGATGACCTGCTGGATGGCAGCATTTCATTCATTATAGAATTCAATTGAATATCTATTTTAATTATTTTGAATTTATCATTATGCCTGAAGATTCTTCGCATGATTTTCTATCTAGATCGTCATCGGCGGGATGCTCCTAGATCGTCATCGGTGGGATGCTCCTCCGATCCGCCTTGCTCCGGATCCCCGGATTGCTATAGGATCTCTCTTTGGAGAATAACAATTTTGCATCGGATTTCTATATCCTTTAATCTATTATTTTCCAGAATCTGACGTATCGTTGAGGCTGACTCGATGGCCGCTCCCAAAAGATGAGACCAAATATCCGGGATCATAGAAATTTTGCTTATTTTATCATATATTCATAAATTGATCTACGCGAATCTCTATTCTCATCATTATCTTGGTCTCTATCATTATCTTTATCTATATCATTTTTTCGTCTTTTCCTTGCTGGAATTCTGGATCAAGCTTTCGCATCAACGCTTGACGAATTTTCCTCTGCTGCTTATTTTCCCATCTCTGTCGTTTCTATTTCTTCGACAGATCTGATTTCCGGATTAGCTTCTGGGGCAGGCATCGTCATGCTGGGATTTACATTCCCCAATTCAGCTCCTCCCTCTGGTCTGCCAGGCTCAATTTTGCAGGGATTATCAAAGATAATATCTGAATGGATTTTATTCTAATCTATATCGGTATTTCGTTCCTTTTCTTATGATTTTGCTAGCCCCGGATTTTATATATCAATCCCAAGGAATAGAATTGCAAATAGGGAAATAGAATTATAAATAGGGAATATAGAATTCCGTCATCCTCATGATATCATATTTATTGCCTTCTATATGAGCTAAGGAATAATCTAGATTTATCTTCAGATATTATTGATAAATAGATATACGTAATCAAGATTATCGTATCCATTATTCTTTATATTAGAATTCAGATTGAGAATCGAAATCTATTATCTCCAAAATTTATGATATTTATTAGATTTGAATATCTAAGATATCTTCAAAATATTAAATATAGAATATATTTAATATAAATGATCTATTCTATAAGAGAACGCCTATGAAAGATATAGATATATCTCCTCCAATAAAATTTTGGGATTCTAGATAGATATTCTATAAATCATTAGATTTGATTATGAAAATTAGATTTCTATAAGAATTGAAAATCTAAAAAATCTTTGATATAAATATCTATATATCTTATGAGAATTCTTATCCAATCTCTTGCCCTAATTTTCTCTATATCTGAATTTCTATAAAGTTCTATAGAATATATTCATATATTATATCGATCTAGATATTTTCATGAACGTTATTTATCTCATCAATATAGATATGATATCCTATAAAAATCAACTTGATCATATGGATTAAGATTCATTCGATATATTTAATCATATTTATCGAAAATCTATCATATCATATTAATTCTGCCAAGGAGATTATTGCTAATCTATCTAGGATAAGAGCGAAATATAATATAGATTTGATGATCGATCTTTCAAAATTCAAAGAAAAATTCTAATATATACGAAGAAATATGAAAAATATTATCCGTCATGACGTTCTAGATTCTAATTCTAAATCATTCTGAATCTTTTACGAATTATTTTCATGATGATAATTTAGAAATTAGGAATCGAATTCAACGATTAGATTTTATGATATCAAGATTTAGATTGAAGATATTTCTAATTTGATATTTTTTAGATTTTAGATTTAATAATTAGGAAAATCAATATCATTTCTTATATAGAAATATATTATATTAGAATTGATCCATGACCTTCAATAACGGAAAATATCTGATTACGAATATCTATAATGAGAATGCCGATGAAGAATCTATATATAAGATCATATGCGAAATCCGATATTTAATCAATCAAGAAAAAAAGATTTCATATAATAAATATATCCAATTTATAGATTTAAAAAGATTTTAGATCTTCGCCCCAAGATTATATCTTCTATAAGCCGCCACGCAGAAAATCAAATTGATACGACCATCATATGACTTGCGAGATTTTGATCTCGGATCTATATATTCCCTCGAATAGTAGCGTAGGCATTCAAAGATTATGCGGAAGACCTCTGCAGAGATAAGGATTACGAGAAAATATTTATTTGAGAAAAATCATAATGAAGATCTCGATGAATAATCAATATATAAATTCCGGCGATTTCAGAGACGTTCCCCAGAAACGGCGCAAATAGCCAAAGAGAGAGAAATAATTCGAATTTTCAAAAGAGTTTTGGTCGCGCAATCTCCGCATCTTGTCCAAGCTCTCCATTTCATTTTCTCTCTTAGACTATCTGCACGACGACTCGAGAAAACGCATAAATCTTCGTAGATAGATACGACTAATTTTTGAATTCTAAAAGATTTAGTTCGCCGTCCCGGCTCTATATATTCCGACGAACGCTCGTGCAAAGATAATCAAAAAGATAAATCACGTCCAATAAATAAAATCGTATGCGGAATCCGACCTAATTATCAAACCGCACATATTAAAAATGCCCCTTCTATAGATTGAGAAAAATTTTAGATTCCCGCCCCGGATCTACGCAGTCTATCGACCCGCCACTCAAACAACCAAAGAAAGAAGAATGATTATAAATTTCAAGAAATTTTTAGAATCCCCCGCTTCCTGTCCAATTTTTCAGTCTCCTTTATCTTTCTTAGACAACTTGCGCGGATCGAGAGAACGCATAAATCCCCATAAATAAATACGATCAATCTAAGCCGCGCGACCAAAGTGGGCAACAAAAAAACCGGAGATTTTAGATATTCTAGCTTTTCCGAAGAGCTCTAATACCTCCGAGATTTTAGAGTCCCTACGGAGACGCAAGAGGCATTTTGAAAAGGACTTGGAAAAGCTAGGCCGTATATGAGCGAAATGGTCGCCAACGACCGTGCCATATTATTGAGATATCGCGTCTTCTAATATTTTTAGAAAAGATAATATTCTCAGAAATAGATAGACTATTTCGTAATTCCCCATCTCGGCTCGCATACAATCAAATAGAATATATTAATTATCCATAATATCGGGGGGGTGGAAGGGTTTCGTCATCAAGGGAAAAAGTAATTACCACAATTCTCATGTGTTTCCGTCAAAATGTCTTTTCAGAAGCCAACGGTGTCAATAGTGAATCCCGCGTTGCCGGTGAGAGAAGCCTGTTAACGCCATGGCTGCCGACTGCGTAAACTCATTCAGCACTTGTTAGCTTGCGCCAATGCATACGCATGCTCGGCGTTACATGGACGCATTGGGTCCACGTTCACTGCAGCTGGAGGAATGGATGCTCGGATGTTTTTGACGCAACGTGTCATGTGTTTGCAAAGGATTCTGCCCACCCCCAGAAAGGCACTTAAACGCTGAAACGCCCCATCCTGCAACCAAAGTTCAAGCATGCTCAAACTATGCTATTCCTACTCCACTGTTCCTTCTAGATCTCAAGCCTCTGATCACGTACAGCATGGAATAGAAACAAAAGCATCACATGGGGCTTCTGTTGCCCCAGTCCTTGCAGCTTTTGTCCATCGCGCGTTTTTGAACAGACTCAAAGAGTTTGTTGCAGCTCAGAGTTCCAGAGAGCGAGCCTGCGTGGCCACCAACAGCAGGAGTTTGCAGGACTGTTGCATGTGAAGCTGTGAGCCTGTCGTTGTCTCACGGTCCTCCGATCACTGAGCATTTGGCGATTCGGATTGCTATCGTCACACTCATTCCTTGGCGGTGCCACGGAAAGGCTTTCTGGAATGATTACGGCCTTGACTGAAAACACGCCGTGTTGAGCAGTCCCTTACCTAAGACGACTTCCAAATTAGTACGCCTGCCAAGCAGATCAGCCTTCAAGTACTTCCTCTCGTGGATTCACAGAGATCACTTGAGTTTCACTGTAATCCGTCACAACCGATCTCAGTAGGGCTTTTACTGACTCGGAATCTTTTTGTCTTGTCTGCCCGTAGATGAAGGGCACGCAGCACGGTCAGCGCAGGATCGTGAAGATAAGCTCCAGGCGTTGTGTACGACCAAAACTCGTTGGATTTTCGATAGTCTCCAACCTTAGGATGATTGCACCATCCTTGCATGCACTTACACGAAGCACCTCAGTGCTCATGCCGTTTAAAGCACATGTGACCTTGCATTACTGTACCGCGCTACTACTCTCCTCAGTGTTGTGTGCCAGCATGGGTGCCTACAGATTTTTCCTTGCGTCCATGCCGGCAGCTTCAGGAAAATCACTAGACTCTATACGATACTAGGGGATATATGGGGGTTGTATTGGCGTAATGGAAAGAAAATGGAGACTACTACAATGTATATACATGTCAACATGGCATGTAATACCATCTGCATATTCGCAGAAAGAGTTTCTATGAGAAGTGCCTACCGAGCTGTGTCATAGCCGCCTACGCATGGGAGACAAATCAATACATGTTGCAAGATGTGACCCTGCCCAGTGCAGCCAAGGACGTAAATAAACTTCAGAATTGTGCGCGTCCCACCATCTGTTGATGAAACGCAATGTGTCGCCGCATTCACACCTAGGCACGGTTGAAGGTCTGTGTCTTCAACAGAAACCTGGCAAACAAGACTTGCGCCACTTAGCCCTGCACCCACCATCATGATGGAATTTGGCTTGGTCTGGACAAGGTGTAGCCTGAGTGCTTGCCACGACGCCCTAAGTGTCGGATCCACTCGAGCGACCGTTAAGCTCATGGCTTGCCTGCCGCATCCCAGAAGCTCACCTCGTCCGCAGGGCGGATGCTGAAAAGTGGAGGTTAGGCTACCTGCTGCCGACTGGACGTTGCAGCGTGAGTCATTGTCTACCGTGAAGGCGAATTCAAGGTCTTTCCGCGGCACCTGCCATTAATCTTGGTGTATGCCCTTCGGGTACTTACGGGTCTGTCCTTGTACATCTGCAGGTCAGGATGACATCCCATTCCTCTGCTATGCCTCCTGGCAGTGACAGTCGAGTCAGGCCAAGGTCCTACAGTCCACGTACAGCAAAACATACGAACCACGCCCGTACTCACGGACTTCGATGGGAAAATCGGATGGCCACATTGGCCCCTGCACGGCGAAAAGCTCATTAGTATAGCAGACGCAAAGGGCTGTGTCCAGCCAGCTTCCTCGGCGTTCACTGCAGAAACCCACTGACGGAAAGGATCATTTCCTTGGTTTCACCAGGATGCTTGAAGGTCTCAGAGTTGAGAGTGGGGTTGTGACTTGCATAACGAGGCAGGAACTTTGGATATCGTCCAACCTTTTGGAAGATAAGAAAAGGCTTTCTACATGGAAAGTCAGCATAACTACGCTAGGCACTTGGAGCTCGAAGGGCTGGCAGGAACTCCTACAGTCCTGGACTAATGTCGAGAAGACGCCCATGCCAGCACGGAAAGGTTTAGGAACCGGGGATGCCAGTACGTTATGACAAGACCTTGCCACGAACAGAAGCCTTCATCAAAGCAGTGGCTACCGTGTGAGACCCAACCGTGGCTTGCCTGCGTCCATGCAGCACAAAGGAGTTTGGCAGTCTACGAGTACCACTGAAAGTATTGCTCCAAAACTTAGACCCAACATAGTGACTGGTAGTGTAGTAGGCGGGGACCAGGCGATTCAGGGAAATCCCCATACCAAGGCTCCGTAGATCAGGCGGTACAGGCTGGAATTTCGCGGAACGTGATCAAGAACGTAACCTGGTGGTTTCTCAACACCAGGGGTCACAAAAGCAGGGGTCTCAACACTAATTTTGATAGATAACCTCATATCAGAAGCATAGAGACCTGCTACTATCGCCCTCAACCCAAACTTACCACCAGTGTGCCTCCGAGTCGGTTGGTGCCATCCAGATTGCAGTTGGCCTTTTCGAAGTGCGTGTGACGCGCGGCAACTCACCTAAGCCTAGAGAAACCAATGCACCTGGAAAAAGGGCTTGTGTAACTTGTCTTTTGATACCTCTATCTTTTTGTCAGGGGTCTAGGTTGGTCTAGGTATGACTTGGTAGCCTAAGCCCCCAAACCTATCGCAATCAAATTGCAATCAACATGGGGCTTTCGGGTTGCAGCGTCAGCCCAGGGCGAGCTGTTGCTATCGCAACGCAAGACACATCTCGGAGTTTCCATAGATTGAGCGTCACTATTTGGAGGGTACCTTTTTCACATGATGATGCTATTTTGGTGTGTGTAATGGGGGCCGCTTAGTTTCGGAAACTCGCATCTGCTTCATTATTGCCTGGCTGGCACGTGGCCAGCAATGCAAGGTCACTAGGACTTCAGATTCAAACAGGAAATGGGGCTTTCCCAAAATTCGGGGTACCCTTTTAGGGGTCCCCATAATGAGGATTATTGTATATTTGGGTCTATTGTGGGGTCCCCTTATTTTGGGAAACTACCAAATAGATGCGCTCCAGCCTCAATGTCTTCAGACATCCACAATCTTTCTGTCTCCTCCTGTGGCCAGGAGGTCGGTCACACGAATCTACATGGTAGTTTCCCTAAATTAATTTTCCCAAAATGGGGGAAACTTATATAGGGCCCCGTATTATAATGGGAACCCAAATTTTGGACCCCGTATTATAGGAAATTTAAACCCATACCCACATCCCTGCTGCAAAGCTTGCATCTGCACCATGCGCGCGCTTGTGTTTGGCGATACTTTATTCCCCTCATGACTTTGGCATTGCACCAGCAGGTTGACGACCGAACAATTAGGTTGTCAAAGGAAGAATGCACCCTGGTTATTTGGGGCTATAGAGGGATAATGGACAAGAAAATGGAAACTATAGGGATTCTGGGATTTATATAGGGGTTATACTTTAAACAAACCAAGGAGGAATAGGATATTATTAGCGGCCTTGATCGCTGCGAAGGTCTGGTCATCGAAGAAGTCTTCGGCATAGATGATATGGTCATTGGCCTCATAATGGGGTAGAATATGGGTGTTATATTTCATAGGGATAACGGAAAAGCAAATTGGAAGTTACCGTACCATCACAGGGTATAAACCCTAAATCCCAAACCCTAAGCCCTAAACCCGAAACCCTTAACCCTCAACTCCTATGTGTTAGGCTTGTCTTGCTTCGACATCCCCAGCTGGCTTCCAGGCTCCAAGGACCCGCCTTGAAGGTCTTTGCTTGGTCGGCCAGGCCTGGCGTTCACAAAGTGTAGCAAAAATAACCCTAATAAAACCCAATATAACCCTAATGTAACCCTAATAAAACCCAATATAACCCTAATATAACCGTAATATAACCCTACTAACACCCAATATAACGCTAATATAACCCTAATATAACCCAATACATCCCTAAGAAAACCCTATTATAACCCCAATATAACCCTTAATATTAACCTGGGTTCCAAGATCTTTGGCGGAAGGGCCGCTTGGTGTTTTATGGTGCCGCAAAGGCTTAGTGACCAGCATTTCCCTGCTTGTGACTCATATATTCTAATGCAGTATAATATAGTATGGTATATAATGCTAGAATATCGTATATTATCGTAGTAATAGCTAATTATTGTGCGCTCCAACAAGATGGTTTCTGAAAGGGATGCCTGTAAGCGTCGCAGCTGACACGCCCGGGGAAAAGCTGCTATCAGCATCCTAAGCCAGGCAATGAGCAAACCCATAGCAGAAGATCTGGGTTGCTGCTAAGGAACTTACAAGCGGGTAATCTTAGGGTTCTATTGGGGGTATATCAGGGTTATATTGGGGTAATATTAGGGATATATATGGGGTTATATTAGGGTTATATTGGGGTTATATTAGGGTTATAATGGGGTAATATTAGGGTTAAAGTTCCTTAGCAGCAGCACAGCCGCACCCACGTTTACTCAAAGTCCTTGTAGGTTCCAGTTGGCGGAGACGCCTCCAAGCTGTGCTGGTGGAGTCAGTATAGCATTACATCGTGGAACATGTCTATGATCACTGCTCTGACTACTGTTGTGCTGTTGCATTCTTACGATTGCTATTATTTTGTGATCGTCTGATCGCCAAAATTAAATGGGGCTAACATTTGCATTGCGCCCCGCCTCTGCCTTCTGCAAGATTGTCCTTCCGCTGTGCAGCGCCGCCTTCGTCGAGATAAACGCTGGCGCACATCATCGGCCCAGGTTTTCCAACTCCTGTATTTTACACCTATATAGTAGTTTCCATGTTCTTTTCCATTAACCCAATATAAACCCTAAACCCTAAACCCCGCAGTTGTTGGCTGGAATATGGAGTTTTCCATCAGCCTCCAGAGGAGATGTGATCTTCCACGCGTCGGAAGGGACTTCCTCATGCCCGGCCTGCATGCTTTGACAAAAGATCTGATCTGCGTGTGCTGTGCTGCAACACGTCTCAAACATGAGGGTCACTTGTTGGCGGGCCCTGAGATAAAGTTATCATTCTTGACTGGCTTTTCGGGGCTATGAAGGCAACCCCTGTTTGGAAACATGACCACTCGTGTTGCAAAAGCCGCAAGCCTGATAATGGGATGACGAAAAAGCGGCTGCTTTGAGCACGTTTGTCTTGAATTGTGCCTGCACCAGAGTCATCAAGGAAGCCATTGATGCATGCAAACTACTGGCTGCTCGAAGCCTTAGCGCTCCTCATACCCCGAGAAGCTCTCGGGCTCTTATGTCAAGGACGCTCAAGCGGAGAACGCTACTTTCAGAAGTCTGCATGGTTCTTTGATCCTGATCTATATGCTCTCGTCCCCATGTACCCCCTCTACACTCGCAAAGCTGCCGAACTATCGTGCCGTGTTCCTCTGGACCCCACGACTCGAAAACTTGAGTCAGCAGACTGAAATCCTTAGCTTAGCCACAACCCCCAGACCCGAAAGCTAATATTCAAGAATCGCAAGCAACCGACACGAACTCCATGGCTACGTTAGCGGTCAACCCTTTAAGCCTCACATGATGAGGTAATAAGTAAGACTATATTCCTCCTATAGCATATCATTACCAAGAGGAGGATATAACCTTACTCTATATTGGAGACTTTAGGATCCCCTTATAAAGCACTACTCACATAGCCTCTCCCGGCAACAGCTCGCCGCCGCGCCACATTGCTGAGAGGCCTACTTTTTATTGTTTTGTGTGGAGATGCCAAAAGTACCGCTACTAATGCAGATTAGGTATAGGGGTATATGGAAGTATATAGGGATATATAGTCCCGGTTCTCAGTTCGCCTGCCCCCATGACTCCAATGCTTCAGAAGTTTCAACAGTCACAGGGATGGGGGCCGCCATCCTCGTAACTGCTGTCTCTCTTGACGCCTCAAAGTCGCCATCCTCGCAAGTGTCGTCACTTTTGGCCCCTCGTCCTTTCGTCGCGTCTCAAAAGTACCAACCAACAGCTACAGGGATCGTGGTGGTCCTCATCGTGGCCCTCGCAATTGTCATCCATTTTGAAGCCTCGTAATGTTCTCGCATTTAAAAGGTAGTCACAGGTGGTCCTCATTTTAGACAAGCTTGCTAGAAAACCATCATGAGTTGCTGCAAACCTTCTTGGAATCTTCGATGAACCGCTATACACTCCCTATTAACAAGTAAAACGCCCAATGTAAACCATCCATAGATAAATTTGTAAACCGCTAGACCCAGACCACAGATCACAGGACCTTACCAGGGGAGGGTCATAGGATATAAAATCTCTACGAACACTATAAACCCTCTATAAACTTTTATGCGGACCACAAGATGCAAACCCCAGGCCCAAGGACTGGGGCGGTAACAGTTAGGTCCTGGCCTATCGCCTGGAAGATAGCAACCATACAGCCCAACTCTAAACCCCCGGGGCCGGGATATGGGGCTAGATAGGGGTATAAGGTACACGGCCGTTTCCGAAAATTAGGGGTATTTACTTGGGGGTACCAAAAACAAGGATTGTAGTATGTGGGGATGTATCCTGGGGTCCTCTTATCTATGGAAACTTCCAGATGTCCCAAACAAGGGATAGCCTCTGGGGATGGCCCTGAAAAGTCTGAAAGGCATGTGTAGGGTACACGAGGTCTATGATTGTGTTGAGGTGCGCGCGTATTATGCCTGATCGGGTACAAGACAAGTATCGCATTATCAACGTGTTCTGGGTCTTCACCTCATTTTATTAGGTTGAACTGGCGCTGCGTTGTGGACCACTTGAAACCTGTAATGCATGTTGGGAGGGAACTGCTAGTTTCAACTTTTTGGCATGTAGGGACGTGCCTCTCAACATTGAATCTCTGACCCGCAAAACCTCTAAGCAAATGCGCATTCTTCGTCCTCGTCGCCATGCCCAGTGGAGTTGTGCTACTTGGACCAATGGCTCCTTCGACTGAAGGATGGTACTGTGGAAGCGAGAATACAATACTAGTAATACCAGCTATAACAATAAGGCGATAATCGCCATAATAGTAATCCTTTTAATAATAGTAATACCTCTAATTACTATATTGGATATTATCAATTTCATGCACTGAGGTTCTTTGAGGTAAGCTATACCAACCATTAGGCCCCATGACTGGAAAGGTCACGCTCCAAGTTGCGAGCAGCTTTTTGCTCAGCCTTCACCGTCAGGACCCGCGGAAATGTTTCTCAAGAACCCTGCTTGCTGTAGTCCCGGATACATGGAACCCCCCAGAATCGCCAAGAATTCCCACCTATGTATGTAGGCTTCCCAGAGTACACTGATGTTGGGAAGCTGTCCTCCTTGAGGCCAGCAGCTTTGAAGTACTTTGCAGCAAATCTGCCAGCTGCCTTCATACATCGCACTTTGCATGGACAGCTTCTCTGGTTGTTTGGAGGCCTCCGCCGCACACTATGTTCTTAGGTTGACGCAATGGTTGTGACATTCATCACGTTCATCAAACTTCTCCGATTGCAAGTGTCGTGCCAGTTGATGGAGCGTCTTTTGAACATGCAACAACGGTCCTACGAATATACGAATGCGTGCACATGTAGGGATCTAGTTTGATAATCCGCGCGGTCCAACTAACCAAACGCCTCTTTGCGAGGCAAAGACACACAGGCAATGCCAGCTTCCAGAGCCGCGTGAATCGCGTCCTGTGTCATCGGTTTAGGGTTTAAGGTTTCATCACCCGTGGTTTGGATTTAAGTGTGGGTCATTGTGGGTGGCTCGTCCCTATGAGGTATACAGTCTTTGTTGACCGGGGCATTGGGCAAACTGGAGAGTCTAAAATCTGCGTCCGCTTGGTCCTGTTGAACTGGTCGCAGTAAATCATCAGTGGAAAGCCATGCGACAGGAGCCGGTTTGCGCAGCAACAACTTTTGTGCGACCGAAGCTTGCTGGACCTCAGGGGAAAGCTTAATTTGTAGAAGCCGGTGCAGGAGACATGCGACAAAGCAGCCTCAGCCCGAATGCCATAGACCCATGAGTGCGTCTTCTCCAGCATCTTCTGCGTACCCGGCCAGTATTGCTTCCTGGAATATTCATAACTCCTCTTTGAAGCCGCATCTGCTGTCATGTCTCCCAAGGCGGGGGCTTGAAAGCTGCGTAGGGCAACCAAATCAAGTCTATCGGTATACCAAGAGCCTCAATCAATGCTGGCATGATTCTACTAGGAGTCTGCTTGCATAGCTGCGGGAGCCTTGATCAGGCTTGAGATGTAGCCTTCCATGAGCTGCGCCACACTTGCAGGCTTTGAGGCCTTGAACGCTTGAGGGGTACTAGACAACAATGCTGAAACATGCTGAAGCGAGGCCCGCACCTCCCGTGGACTCAGTGCATCGAAGAGCTCTGGTGGCAGCATGGCAGAGACATAAAGTTTTGCGCGCATTGGGCGCAGCAAGCTGCCAAGATGCTCCAGAGCAGCCTCGCACAAGCCCACAGATTGTACTAAGGCCTGCAGACAACACAGCCACCTCTGGGCACGGTAGTAGCACCACATGAACCAGGCCGCTGTCGGACTGAGATTCCTGGCTGCAGCATACTCTGGCTCTGGATCCTTCGTTTGAAGGAGAGTGCTGTCACGACTTGTCACGATACACTACCTCATGTTTCCGAGCCAGAAACAACAGGAAGAGATGGAGAGACAAGGGGGGGCAGGCGGAGAGCCAGAGAGAGAGTGCACCAAAGGGAGTGAGGCAGGGAGAGGGAGAGCATTCTATAATGATCCCAATATACTGTATAGCAGTTTCCATGTTCTTTTCCATCATCCCTATATATCCCCAATATACTATAGTAGTTTCCTCTTTCTTTTCCATTAAACATAGACTCTAGACCCTAAACCCTAAATCCTAAACCCTACACAATGATCCCGCGAACCCAGGAGCGAGGCCTTCTTGCTGAGAGACGCAAGCGCCTGCACTTCTGTCTCGAGGCTGCATGGCCCACCTTCGGCTTTTTCTGGCCTTTGGTTAGCTGGGAATGAAGGAATGGAAAAGAACATGGAAACTACTATCATGGGTTTAGGGTTGAGGGGTTAGGGTTTAGAAGGAATGAAAGTGAACATGGAAACTAGTATAATAGGTTATGTTGGGACTACTATAAGGGTCCCTTCCTTCATTCCTAGCTAAGCAAAGGCCAGTTCTCAGCAAGTCTCTGCACGAACCTGACCTCTGCACCCTGTGCCCGCTCCAGGCATCTGAGCCGATGCAACATTTTCGTCTCGTAGAGCAGACGGGTGCCGGTTACCGGGCCAAAGATTGTGGATTATTGAGGCTGCCTGTGGTTTCACCACAGCAGAAGAAAGGGAATGGAAGGTTGAGCTCAGCCACTGCTCAGCCCAAACACGTATGATCTGCGGCTGATGGCCGATGATCCCAAGGAGAAGAAATTAAAGTTCATGTCTGCGGTTGCCAGTGCCGACAGCAAGCAACTGCACAAGTGAGCTGTGCTTACTTCTCCACTCCTATGGAGGTATCTGACAGCTGCCTATACATAACCTACATCTCTGAGAGTCCTCTTCGCCCCGCGCCGCCCTACTTCAAGCCTGCGCAGAAGTCTTGGTCAGCTTCAGCCGCACAGCTATGGCAAAGGATTATCGAGCAATGGCTACACTGCCAGCCCTGCCTGACAATGCCAGATGGTAGTTTGCCAGTAGGGTTCCAGGTCTGGGGTTATCTTGGGATAGGGTCCAGGTTTGGGGTCTGGAGTATAGTTCAAGGGACTCACAAAGAGATCCAAGAAAGGACCGCACTGTTAACAGCTCTGCATATAAGCCGCGTTTTCGCGGCTTGTCACACCCAGGGACCCAAGGAGCTTACTGTTCTGGTTTTTGTTTCAAGGCTTGCCTTCTTCCTGTCTTGGGCAGCGATCTTGAAGATAAATTGGACTCACTCTAGTTTGGGGATCCCACAGACTACCATGCGCTAACAAACCTATTGAGGTTGTGATGAGATTGAAGCCAGCAAGTAAGGCATCGGGAGTCATCGCGCCACTTCTGAAAATGGCACGCTTGGAGATACTGCAATCAAGTTCGCTCGCATTGCTGTACATGTGTTGCGTTCGCCCAGAAACTCGTCAGAGCAGTGCACTTCTGTCGTGAACCCGAACTTCCTAAGCTAACGATAAACAACGAACAGTATCCCCAATATCGCGTCAGAAGAAGCGGTGGAACGATATGAGAGCTTTCATTCATCGGGGCCCAGTATAGACTTGAATATTGTAACAGTATAGGATTCCCAAGAAGGGGCCCCTAAACTTTGGGAACTCCAATCCCTATAAACACTACATACTCCCAGTTTCCATGTCATTTCATGTTCTTTTCCATTCTCCATTATATGCTCGATAATCCGTAGATAACCACAAGCATTCAGGGATTTAAGGAGATCGGGCCTCCAGACTCCCCATAAGAAGCCACCACAGTGCTGGCACCACTTTGGTTCGGTCCAGGACCCTTCCTGCAAGCGATGCTGCATGGGCTTACCATCGACCTCATCAACGTTGCTAGGACCTGGGCACGCTGACCCAGCCGACCAATGAGCTCTCCGAGTTTGGTATAATCGTATGGTTTTAAGGTGAAAAGAGGGTAAAAACGTGTTATTGCTTCGGGCTAGCTGTTGCTTATCGCAGCAGCAGCGTTTGGAGTCAAGACTTGCGTGCCCCTGCGCCCAAAGCTTGACGTCCTGCTTCCTTTCCTTTGTCCGGTGAGTGCCGTGAGAGTAGCGCCCTGTACGTCGTGCGGCTGGAATTCTCTCAAAGGCTTCCTGGGTGTGAAAATGCTGTGCTGGGCAGTGGGTTGGAAGGCTTATCCAATACAAGCAGGAAGTCTATTTAGGCCGAGAATCTTGTGAGCTCGGTACAGCAAGAAGGCCCTGGCTATTCGAGCCACGCATGAGTGATGCACAAGCAAGCAGCCGAATCCAACGGTCAGTATCAGGCGAATCAGCAGGCCCTGCCACTCTCTCCAGTAAATCAGTGCCGCAGTGAGCAGCAGCAGTCCGCCGCACACAGGAAGCCGGTAAGACAACACCATGGCCTTCACAGCATCAAAGCCACGTCCCAGCACTACTACCTGATCCAAATTAGTTTGCAGAACGGAGAACTCGCTGTACTGTTCCGGGGGCAGGCCAGCTTCCGCGGCCGTGAACACCTTCATGAGGGCCGGGTCGCTGATGCCTTCTTTTGCTTCTTCGCCCGATGGAGGCTCTTGAGCCGGCAGATCCGCTTTGTCCTCCCTTTCTTCCTCCTCACCTTGTGTTCGGCTGGCAGGGGCTTGACTGGGCTTGCTTGACACATACAGCGTCGCGCACGCCGTCAAGCTGAGCAGTGGTAGAATAAATTCCGGCCTCCAGGCCAAGATGATCACTGTACTCCACAACAAGCTGCTGCATCGCTCCGCACGCTCGAACAAAGGATTGCAAAAACTCGTCACGTCCTGAATCATGTGGGAGATGATGGACACATCACCAAAGAGCTTGGCAAAGTTGAGTGGCTGTAACGGCTCTTCAAAAGCTGGGGGACCCAAACAGTGCGCAAACAGCTCGTGCTGAGGCTGTGCTACATGCAACGTCAACTGAAGGCGAATCCGCCCCACAGTCTGCGGGCGGATGCCCTTCTCCAAGTTGGCAACCCTGGATTTGTAGTTGAGAAGTCGATGGCCATGCTCAGGATCCCATAGGTTGAACCAACCAGAGACTTTGGTGTTCAGTGGAAGCCGCTCAATTGAGATATCAACATAACCCAACAAATCATCGCTAAGACCCATGAACGACCCAGCAAAGCCAATCTTGGACGACTCGCCAAAGTCTTCATCATGCACGTAGATAGATAGCACGCTGCCCGGACGAAAAACTCGGATGTGGAAGTCTTGCTCCCATTTTGGTGCCAGGGTCTGCTTCTGAACTTTTGTGCGAACTTCTGGCAGGTCGTGATCATTGAGCTCGGCCTTGACATAGGGATCGGAGAGGCCCGTAAAATCTGCAGCCGGCAGGCCATGGGCCCTGTCGACTCGCAAGTGTAGGACAGCATATGGTGCCACGCCACTGTTCTCGTCACCTTACACGCATCAGCTCCTGACCCTCGTAAGAAAAACAAGCCCCGGAAGTGCACGCCTACTCACGAAAGCTGAAGGCTTCTGTGTGCAAGGCCAGCTGCTGGCAACGCGAGGTGCCGACAGGCACAGCCAGGGCGAGAAAGGCTGCGCCACCAAACCGCCGGCGTCCTTTTCCATGAGGTCATTCGCCATGGCTGAAGGCTTATGGCGAGATCTGTTCCTTTCTGTTTTGTGACATTGAAAGTTTGTGAATGTGTATTTGCTGGATGGGGTCTTATAGCGACACAGAGAAGATATTCCTCTGGAATGTGCAGCAATGCATTTGGGCATAATTGCTGCAGTTCAACTGACAGAAACGATACTTCAGCTGGAGATGCAAGCTGCAAAATACACAAAACCTGGCTGCCAATTGAACGTGACTCTCGTCTTGCTGTCCGCTTGGCCTTTGGGGCAGTAGCTGTCATCCACAGCCAGGCCAATGAGAGGAAGCTTCCCCTGATGTACTGTCTAGCCCCATCATGACCGTCATGAGCTTTGCAAATATCTGTCTACATTTTCCATATCATCTTCTTTACTATACTTTACTATGGTGTATGCTGTAGATTCTGTACTAACTTAATACTAAAGCACTCTACTACCTAGGTGCAGAATTGCTTCACTGCGATCAGTAGCAGCCCTTGCAGGCCTGTAAGGGCGATCTCTTGGTCTCAGAACTGGCCTTGCAACAAAGCAAGGAAGGCATTTCTTGGTCCTTTTGTCATGCTCATGCACATAGAACTTAGACATTGGGAAGCCCATGCTAGTGGACAAGCAGTAGCAACAGTAACAATATTGGTAATGAACATGCTACATGTCCTAGCTTTTGCGCATGGTAGGATCCTAAGTTGGACTTAATGCATATACAGGCACGCCAATACTCGTAAGGAGCCCTTTGCACACCAAAACCGATAACAGCACCGTTGCTAGTAATAAGAATATCTACAGAAGCCCATAGGCTTGGTACATATCCCTACAAGCGCCTATATTCCCAGGTTCAATTTCATGTTGCATGACCTGTTCCATTTGATCCCTCTCCATTGATGAGGTCACATCCCTAAAGCCCTCAACCCGAAGCGCAACTCCCTAAACCCTTACCCCCCAAAAAAAAACACACACACTCTCTTATGCTGGAAAGCCCTTCTCTGCGAGTGCTTCAGCTGCTGGGCCTCTCCCACCAGAGCCGAGAGGCTGGTGGATCCTGCGTTTGCCAGCTCCTCCATGAAAGGGTTATATGGGGGTTTCCCAAAATTAGGGGTACACTTTCTGGAGGTCCCTATAATACGGACTATAGTATATTTGGGCTCTATATTGGTTTCCCCCGATTTTGGGAAACTACCATATGGGGGTTGTCCAATA